ATAGGGCTCCTTGCTCAGTGGGGAGCCTGCTTTTCCCTCTCCCTCTGCTGCTCCCCCTGCTTGTGCGCTCTCTCCCTCTCTCTGACAAATGAATAAATAAAAATTTAAAAAAACCCACCTAGTTATTATGGAATTTGTCAAAGTCATTGTGGTTAGATTTTCAGGGAACTTTCCTTTCAAATATGGGTCTCTAATTTGAGAACTTTGACCCAATGCCAGATTGATAGTACATTTGCAATGAATTCTAGACTCCTAAGAGTCTAAGATAATCAAATTCTCATGTTTTACCATTCTTTGTTTCATATTTAGATCTCTCTCAGGGCACTGAGATAGGTGGTGTGTGCCCTTGGGTGTTTTGTGGTCCAAAGGGTAAACTTCTCTGAATTCTAATTGGCTGCTACGGGTCCTGGTCCCTTTGATCTGTTCACAACTGCCCAGTTTCAGCCGCATTTTCTTTTCAGAGGACTGCTAAAAGTAAAAGGTACAACCCTAGTCACCTGTCGCTATCACTCTGAAGGCAGAGGATGAAATGTTTCCTCAGGAACACCACACACACAGGGGAAGAGAAGGTCCCGGATGTGGGCTGGCCAACTTAATAAAGCACTACCACGAAGACTTCTGCCTCAGGCTCTGCTTTATGGAAACCTTTAGATAAAGCAGGACTCTCATCTTATAATTTTTCTCTTCCAGCAGAGAAACCATTACCCCACATTGACATTGCTGGACCTCCATCTCTCGGATGGCTCACAGCCCGTCAGTTTCTGGAATTCTCTAGGGATATCTCAGAAGAACTCCCAAATAAGGAATCATGTTCACAGAGTGGGATCAACCATCATTCCTCTTCTTCTGCCCTGGCTTCTTTGCCCAGGAAACCTCAGGCACTGCTGCCGTTACTGTTTCCTGATGGCTTCTCAAAGTCAACAGTCGGTCAACTGCGTCTCAGTGTTCTAAGACTGATCTGAAGAAAGAACATCTTTCCTGCCCTCATCAACCTGTGATCATCCCCTCAAATACTCTGTCCTCTACTTCCTATCTTGATGCTCCCAATGGAAAGCTGTCTTGTACTCCAAATCTCAACTTCCTGTGGACAATTTAATGTGATACCCTCTCTTGTCTTTTCAGTTTGCTCCAGGAAAGCTTTCATAGCTATGAGAGTGTCAACAACCGAAAGGAGGCGAAACTGAAAAAAAAAAAAAGGCCTTTTTTCTTAGAGTTTCGGAATTGCAATTCCAGAGGGAGCACAGATACCAGTGTAACCAGGAAAGTGTCGCACCTGAGCTAAGAGAGCAGAGATTTTATGAGAGGAAGAAGGGTGGGGGGAGGGGCAGTCACATGACTTGAATTAGGGAGGAGGAGGAGGAAAAAAAGTCATGACTGGTACTAACAGATTGAGCCATCTGTGTTTACACGTTGATCAAATATATCGGTGTTGTCTGATGAGACCACTCTTGGTATGCACTAATTAACTGCTCTCAGAAAGTCGGACTGGCAGTTTTATGGCCTGGCCGCCAACTGCCCTGCTGGTTTTACCAGCAATTACTTGCAAAACAATCACCCTGACCGGCCCAGTTTAAAAGTTACTTTGTCCAGTTCAAAAGTTCATTGGAAAGGAAAATGGAGCTTCGAAGCAGAGTTGCTCCTGTCCAGAAATTGTATACAGTCTCACAAGAGCAAGCCAGAGGACCAATGGTTAATGCAGAGCCAGACCCTCCTCTTGCTCTTCCGGTCATTCATGTCTTCCCTCCAGTTGTGTGATAAATATATTTGGGTTCACTTTGAAGCTTTCCAGTAGTAGCAGTCTGGAGAAAAAGACTTAAATCTCCTTTGGTTTAACTTAGGAACATTAACAGTAGTTGCATTTATTGACCATTAGTTAGTGTTGGTACCATTTTGGTTCCTCCCACAATCTCGAACTCCCCTTCTGCAATAAGTGTGTTTTGTTAGCCTAATAAAAAGTGCTTTGAGGGGCGCCTGGGTGGCTCAGTCGTTAAGCGTCTGCCTTCGGCTCAGGTCGTGATCCCAGGGTCCTGGGATCGAGCCCCGCATCGGGCTCCCTGCTCGGCGGGAAGCCTGCTTCTCCCTCTCCCACTCCCCCTGCTTGTGTTCCCTCTCTTGCTCTTTCTCTCTCTCTGTCAAAAAATAAATAAAATCTTAAAAAAAAAAAAAGTGCTTTGAACACTGAAATTCAGGTCTCTTGCAGAAGGCTGCAAAATGGTTCCCCAAAGATGTCCACATTCTCATCCCCAGAACCTATGCAATTTGTACGTAACTTTTACCTTCATTGTAAAATAAACTTTGTTGATATGACTACATTCAGGATCTTGCAATGGGAAGATTATTCTGGATTATCCTGGGTGGGTCTGATATAATCACAAAGATTCTTATAAAAGGGATGCAGGAGAAGTCAGAATCAGACAGAAGCGGAGGTGACAGAGCAGAAGGACAGGAAGAAAGGGATTGGGAAGGCTATGCCGATTGCCAGGAAGTTGTGGGAAGATGGCCAGGAGCTGTGAAAGGTTGATGGCCTCTGGAAGTTGGAAAGATCAAGGCAATGTAGTCTCTCCTGGGGTTTTCAGAAGGAACCAGCCTTGAGGCCACCTTGACTTTAGTCCAGTAGAATTAACTTCTGTCTTCTGACCTCCAGAACTGTAAGAGAATAAGTTTGTGTTGCCTTAAGCTACTAAAGTTGTGATAATTTGCTGCAACAGCAACAGAACACTGGTGCACTGCTTCCCCCCTTCGGTCAGATTGCTCCCCCTCTTCTGCAGAAATACAGGGGCCACCGGCAGCTTTTCGGCGCGGCTTAGCAATTTACTCAAATTATAATGCTCCATTCTAGTAACAGCTACATAGAGGAGATTCTTTTCTTGTTCCCCTTTTATGAAAGGAGCAATGAGGTTTCGATGAATCAAGAAATTTGACCTTGAGCCACACAGAAGGTGTTAGGACTGGAAAGCCCCTGTCAGACCTGTCTCATTCTTCACAGCCTGTGCTCTCAATCAACGTATGAACCAGCTGAAGCTTCTGCATCTTTCTTTTCAGTCACCAAGTTAACAAGGCCTATGTGGAGCTTTCCATATTCGTAATTTAAAATTTTATCCTGGGGACACCTGGGTGGTTATGTGTCTGCCTTCGGCTCAGGTCATGATTCCAGGGTCCTGGGATCAAGCCCCACATCAGGCTCCTTGCTCTGCAGGAAGCCTGCTGCTCCCTCTGGCTGCCCCCTCCCCTCCCTGCCCCACCAGCTTGTGCTGCCTCTCTCTCTCTCTGACAAATAAATAAATAAAATCTTTAAAAAAGTAAAATAAAATTTTATCCTGAATGCACACGGAGATGTTCTGCATCAGACAGATTTCTTATTAACTACCTCCCAGTGAGTGAGTGTCACTTCCTGCTTGCCTCAGGCCTTATTCCTGGGGTAATGTGATGAAAGGCAGATCAGCTGTCCCACTCCAAAAAGGGGGGCTGTGGGAAACACAATGGTCTCTGCTTATAAAGGGGAAGGAGGACTTTGATCCATTGCCCTCCTGAAAGGGTCTCCTTGGTAATTTGCTAACACTAAGTCCCAGCTCTAACCCTGTGTTATATAAGTAAATCTTTCCAAGAGCCAAATTACCCCTGGTCTCCACTGGTAGGACCTATGGGTGTCTCGTAAATTCTGTGGCTTTATCTATTTTGACATGTGAATACCTGGAGAGCTAGCATTCCAGTCTCCCCACCACCCTGACGCTTAACCTGACACCTGTGCCTGGATGTAAACATTGGGTCCTCTTTCAGGAGATTAGAAAAATTCTATCGTCTCTTAGGATCAGAGCAATTAACTAGACAAATGACAGATTTAATACTCATGGTATGTGAAGAGGCGAGGACTTTTACAAGAACACTGAGAAACCCAAAGAAGTTTTATTTCCCATAGCCTAAAATATATTGCCCTTGACTTGGGGTTAAGGAAGGACTCAGTGCTGGCATTTCTGGATCTTTCAGAATGGTTTGCATGTGTTCACCTCGATACAATTTGAAGAGTGCTGTTCCGTCTTATCTCCTTCATTCTGAGCAAGTACCATTGGAGTTATGAAGAGACTAGCATACTTAATTTTCAGGGGAGGATACAGAGGCTCCGAGTAGCTGTTTCTTGTCTGCAGTTACCCAGCAACTTAAGACAAATATGGGCATGTGCCTCCCTCTTCCTCCTGCTGAAGGCTATAAATGTGCCTGGGAATGGGTCCTGAATCAGAGACAGGCACACATCCTACCTGGCCTTCCCCACAGGTGCCCAAACTCTCCTCCTTTTCAGATTTAGAATACATTCTCTTCCAGGTGGCTCAGATCTTTCCATCATCAGAAGAGAGCCTTTGTTTCTATTGTGGAAGCTGGATGTATTCCCACTGTCCTGGGGCCGTTTGAATTCAAATTTGTAGGTTTAGAAACATTTGAACCATCTTACTTGTGAAGCACTGAAACAGTGTTACACTTGGTGACTGTTATCGCTCCATGGAGATTAGAAAATAAACACCTTCTCATTTAGACCTTTAGGCAGATGAAACACTCAGCCAACTCACTTTTTCTGCTTCTTTCCCCCATTACAACAATTGAGTTCTAAGGAAGAATGCAATTTACAGTTTAGCTCCCAGATTCATTAAGAGGGAAAAGAATGTATAATTGAAAAACCATTCCACAAGATAACTTAAACGAGAGCTCTTTTAAAAATATGTATAAATATTTGCAAAATTTTAAAGAGCTCCAATTGAATAATAGTTGGTTATACTGAAACAAAATGAATATTTTACATGAAACAGATTCTCAGGGTGAGGGGCTGCAAGGATTTGGAAAGAGCATCAAATATGCCTTCGTGAACAGGAGTGGAACTAAGGAATGGCCGCTAGCAGCAGTCTCTAAGTGGGTGTGACCTATAGTCCGTTAGAAACTTACAGTGCTTGGGTATTCAGGAGGAACAAGAGATCAAGAAGGAAACACACACACACACAAACTAAGCAAGGAACTTTTGTAAATAGCTTTATTTTCACGCTATTTATAAAAATACATCGATAAATATTTAAACTTCTCTATTCCAAGACATAGAGAAACACCACATAATTAACACTAAACAAGGCACTATGCCTTACAAGGAAGACATAAAATGTCCAAGGGATATTTAAAACATTGGAGTTTTTTTAAAGCTTCAACATCAGAAATGTTGACCACATACTGTGAAATTCTCTCCATAAATAACAACCAGCATTCTTCTCAACAGTACAAAAACAGAGGTGCACATACATCCCATGACCTTAACAGGGATTTATTTGCTTGGATCCCACACTATTTATCGCCAGCCTTCATCATGGTGACTGATATGGCATGGTTTCCCCCACCATCCCCCCAAGAAATAATAATTTAATGAATGAAGAATATTTAAGACTTGTCATCTACAAATTAAATAATAGAACTGAACCAACTTTAATGGAACATAAAAATGACCTTTTAAGACAATAGTACAGCAAATTACCAAATTCATATCTTTAAATATTAGCTAGGACATTAATGTGCTAGCTTTGAGAAAATAAATAAATAAATAAATAATAAATAAATATGTTTCAAAAAATAGAAGAATACTCCTAGGCAAGAGTCAAATACATTAAACACAGTCCAGGGGGTCTCAGGAGGTTTTTGTTTCTCTTCTTCTGCTCCCACTTCACTAAGGCTGCAACAGTAAGTCAGGCGTCTGCCTTCTCTCTAGCTCAGTGGGTGCTGCCCCTGTGAGGAGAAAATGGTTGCTGTTAATAGGATTCCATAAACTGATGGCATAGCCCCGTGCCATGTGGTCACTACCTACATCACTGCCCTATGAGGCAGAAAATGCCAGGCTCCTGGATGCTGTCTAATCAGGAATAAGGGGCCTGTGATCCCAATTGTATTATTAGCCTCAAAGAGCCAGAATGTAATGTCACAGTAGACTAAAAAATTACATTCGGGACTTCACTTAAACCTCATAGCAAACACCTGGAAGTAGCTACTTCTATTTTTCCATACAATTGAGACTTAAAGAGATTCAGTACTTTCCCTGGGCTTACAGGAATAATAAAATGTGGAGCCTAAATTACACTTAGGGCAGGGATTCACGGCAAAGTCCTTGATTTTCAGTCCTTCAGCTAAACCCTGGGTTTCCTTGGTAAAACTTTCTGGAGGCATTTGCCAGTATTAGTGACCAATGGCTCTAGTCCCATGTGTGAACAAAAAGCACAACTCACTTGTTTAGCATCTTATTGATGATTTTCTTGACCATGGGGGCTTCGGGGTTGAGACAAACCTCCTGCCCATTCTTGAGAGTGGCTCTGCAGGGAGAAGGCAGAATCCGCGTTGGCGGGAGGTGGGGCGGGGCGGGGGGCCGGCGGGCATCAGGGCGCTGGGGGCCACCAGGACGCGAGCAGCCGCAGCGGTGTGGGGCATCACTTACATGACTTCGGTTTGGGGACAGTGGGGTCCCCAGGGCGTCACCTTGACGTTCTGGATGTTCTTGAGGTGAATTCCCTGCAAGGTCTGCAAGCACTGGCAGCGCAGCTCGGCGGCCACGGGCGCCCCTGCGGGGAGAACAGACCGGGTTAGCTGGCGGCCCCGCGGTGGGCGCCCAGCGCCCCCCCGTCCCGCCCGTGGGCTGGGGGCGCGCCGAGTCTCACCTGCGGCGCGGCGGCCGGCGGGGACCAGCAGCAGGAGCAGCAGCGCGGCGCCGACGAGGCGGAGAGCGCGGGGTGCGGCGGCGGTGGCGGCGCGGGCCATGGGGCTCAGCTCGGAGAGTCGGGGCGGCGGGGCCTGGAGCTGGCGAGCTGCAGCGCGAGCTGGCGGAGCGGATTCTGTGGCTCCCGGAGCCGGGAGAACCGCTTTTATCCCTGGCGGGCGCGGGGAACTGAGCAGTCCCGGGGCCAGGGAAATTCCCGGCTCCGCAGGTCGCTCCCGGTTCGGAAAGGACAGCGCGGCCCCGCCCCCGC